AATTAGTCATAGAATTCCCGAGTCGAAATTTAAGCCCTACTTTCACCCCGAATTTTCAGGGTCTATTGAGTGTTAGGAGTAGTAAAGTAGGGTCTAATTCTAATACGATCAGACCCTACTTTGACTCCCAAAATAGGCTGAAATTTGCCAATCTTCCATTTGGAGAAGCAAAGGAGGGTCTACTTCTAAGAAACCTATACCGTACTTTTAAAACTCGTAGACCCTACTTTCATACTCCTAGACCCTACATTCTAAAAGAAAATTTTGAATTATTTTTTAATGCATTACTTGAAACACTGCAAATGCAAAAAGTACTCCAAATTCATAAATACTGATGTGTTTTATAGCGTCTATATACACTTCGTGTATATAGACGCTATAAAACACATAAAATTCCACTTTTACTCATCCCTAGTGCTTCAATTGAATCTGGGCAAATCTTCAAATTTTTCTTTTTCTAATTATAGGGTCTAGGAGTATGAAAGTAGGGTCTACGAGGTTTAAAAGTACGGTATAGGTTTCTTAGAAGTAGACCCTCCTTTGCTTCTCCAAATGGAAGATTGGCAAATTTCAGCCTATTTTGGGAGTCAAAGGAGGGTCTAGTTTTTAAAAATTGTATTGAAATCAGACCCTACTTTACGACTGCTAAACCTGAATAAGCCCTACATTTTCAGAGGCTAAGTAGGGTCTAAATTTCGACTCGGGTTAGGAAAGTAATTTTTTTGTTCTGATATTCTTTTGCAAAAATCGAAAAATAATTTTAATTATAAACTTGGGGGGGAAATTAATATAATGAAGTTTATTGTTGTTTTTAATTAAGAAACATTTCATTGTTAAGTGAATCATTTTCGCTCGTAATTGAGTTAATTTAGTGTTTAATTGCAATTGTTAGGAAATTGTGTGAAAAATTGTTATTGTTAATCATATTCTTTTTCTATACAGAGAAGATGTTCTGAAATATAATTAAATAAGGTTAGAAAATTTTTTAGATGAACAATATTTATTAGATATGAATTTAATTTAAACCATATTTTGTAATGAAGAAGAATGCAGAATAATTCAGTTTATTAAAAATTGTAATCTTTGGTCTGAAGTTTTCCATAGTTGTTTGAAAGATTTATATTCTTTGTAATTTAGACTTAGATTGTTGGTTTTAGTTTGTAGCTTTTCAGCAATTGAAAGAAATTGAAATTTTCTAACGTTCGCTAACTTTGCATTTATTACAATTCTAATCTATTTGAAGGTCTCCTTCCCTTTTCCATCAAATTGCTAATGCGCAATCATCATAGACGTTAGGCTCGTAATAATTCTAAGTACGTTCTGATGACAGTAGCATCAATGATACAATCGTGACACGTGTACAAACGTGTATTTGCTACACATCAAGATGTACATTGTTAACTCTTCTTCTTTTCTGAATATTTCATCAGTGTTTAACAGTACTTGTTATAAAAGTTACAATTATAATTTTTTTGTTATCTTATTTTGTTAGTTTTATTTGCAATTTATGTTATTTTTTGTTAATTCCGTGCAAATGAAACTGCATCACAGCTAAATATCTTCTGGAAACTAATAATAAACTTTATTTTTATAATATAATAAAGTTTAAAATTAAGCTCAGAATAAAGTAAATTGATATTAAATAAGTTATTAAATAAATTAAACCCTTATTATCATTAATATAAGTTGGTCTAATATTCAGAAAAGTAGAAGTTAGATAACAATGAAAGTGATTCTGCTAAACATTTGCTAAAAGTTTTCCATGTAACATATATGTCCCAACAACGATTGACGTTACAAAATTAAAATTCTACTTTTTCTTTTATTAAAATTGATGTACTGTATGGGAAAGAACTTTTTAATGATACAAAAGAATTCTGAAATTGAGGAAATCTAATAATAAACTTTGATTACAATGATATAATCAGTCTTCTGAGATTTTATTGTGACAAACATTCTTTCCGACGTATTAGTGCTATTTTTTACACTTTGCTAAACACTCTGATGTTTCTGCGTTTAAATCAATGATTTTTTAATCGATCGCGTTTTACTAATACAGGATAGATGAAGTAATGTAATTTTCCTTATTTGTATATTCATTAATGAATTCATCAGAAGTCGAATGAGTAGGTAAAAGGTGATGATATAATTAGAAGATATTGGTCTATGCGTCTACACAATATGTGACTAATGCAACTAGTGATTCATTTTAACTGAAAGTAGTTCTGTAATAGGTGCAAAAATGAATATTTATTCATGTATTTCTATTACAATTATTAGCGAAATTAAAAATTGGATTCAATTTGATACCAATTACGAAGAATTGATAATAATACCAAGAATGTGGATCATGTCTTGAATGAAGTTATAATTTATTCAAATTTTTGGTATCAATTTGTTATTTACCAGATTTTTTTGTACCAATTTGATCCAATTTAGTAACAATCGCAACAAAAACATACCTACCAAAAATGTTGATTAGTTAGAATTTGATTGAAATTTTTTGTATCAATTTGATACCTTCAAGAAGAGTTTAAGATTTTCCAAAGTTTTAGTATCAATTTTTTTCAATTTGGTATTAATTACAAAAAACATGTCGATCATATCATAATTTCTACCAAATTTTTGATACTATTTTGATTCAATTCAGTATCAATTTGCTATCTTCAAGAACACTGTTAGACTTCCCAAATTTTTGTATCAATTCAATATATTTTGGTGCCAATTTAATACCTTCAAAAAAATTCAATTATTTTCAAAAATTTAAAAAAAAATTCTCGTCAACATTTTAATTATATTTATAAATAGCAAAATTCTTCTCCGAAATTTAATTATATTGAGGAATTTTTATAAAATTCATTGTAATATTCAATTATTTTCATAAATAACAATATTCATCACAAGAATTCAATTATTTTCAAAATTAATAAAATTCTTCGCAGAAATTCAAATATTTTCAAAGAATAAAAAAAAAATTGTCGTCAACATTTCAATTATTTTTATAATTGAATTAGCAAAATTTTTCGACAAAATTCAATTATTTTCAGGAATTTTAATAAAATTCATTGCAAAATTCAATTCTTTTCATAAATAATAGTATTCGTCACAAGAATTCAATTATTTTTAAAAGTAATGAAATTCAATTATTTTCCAAAATTTTAATAAAATTCATGACAAAATTTCAATTATTTTCAAAAAATTTTTCTTAATTCAATGATTTTCAATATTCTACTATTTTAATAGAATTTCCCAAAAGAATTCAATTATTTAAAAACAATTTTAACAAAGTTCTAAACAAACATTAAATTATCTTCTAAAATAATGAAAATTTCACAGGAATTCAATTATTAAAAATAGAATCTGCATATATTTTTCGAAAGAAATCAATTGTTTAAAACTTTTTTTATAAAATTCTTCGCAATAATTCAATTATTTTAACAAATAATAATAAAACTCATCCCAGAATTGAAATTATTTTTAATACAATTTTAATCGAATGCCTCAAAAAATGTAATTATTAATAAATTTTTTTTATTAAAATTCGTCGAAAGAATTCAATTATTTCAAAATTTGTTGCTAAAATTCTATATAAGAATTAAATTTTAAAAAACATTTATTTATTCAATAAATTATTTACATTCGTATTTAAATAATTGGATTCTCGTAGAATTTTCTAATAAAAATTGATTTAAAAATTAATGTCATATAAAGTTTTAGATGTAACTTTGGAAAAGTTACTAATAATTGTAATTTTTAAAAATAATTGAATTTTGTAAAGATTACAAATTAAATGCTTTGAAAATTTGAATTTTTCATACTTTTAATTAAAAATTTTTATTTTTTAATGTATATTTAATTGAAGAATTTCCAAATAATCGAAATTTCGTAAAACTGAATTGTAAACAAATGAATTTGAAAATTCTCAAAAAAAACTTTATCATAAATTATTAGAATTTTATTTAAAAATTTTAGAAAATAATAATTGAATTGAAACGATGAAAATAATTTTTAAGAAGTTAGAGTAAAAATATTCTTATATTATAATATAAAAAAATGATTTTATCAATTTGCCATCTTTAATTATTATAAAACATGAAGAAATGGATCACTCCGAGTCGAAGCCTGGGAGTGATCCATTTCTTCATGTTTTTTAATAATATTCTTTCGAGTTATTGAAATTCAAAAGGGAAATTTTTGAAATCTTTTTTCCTATGAAAAAATAATAATGATCAAAAAAAGAAGTTAAGTTTGAAAATTCATAAATAAGTGCAATAGAACATTTTTTTTGAGTATCTAATAATGTTGAAAATGAATCAGAATATTCTTTAGGGTCAGGAAAAAAGTCAAAATTTTGTCTGGAAATCAGGGAAAAGTTAGTTAAATTTTTGTGGCAACCCTGCTAGGAGTGACATTTTTTATAAATATTTTATTACATTTTAATATTTATTTTTTATGATTTCACAACATTTGTGATATAGTTTAAGTTTTTAATTTTTTAAATTGATTTTTATCAGAACATTCAGGAATATATTGTTTTTGCTCCCCAAGAATGAAATTACATTAAGATTTGTGTTTTTCCCTTTGAAGAATCTGTTTTTGCAGTTAAGAAATTCTTGTCAATTAATGTTTTCAATATAGATTGCGAATGAATTTGAAAATTTTCTGAGCAAAATGAACAAAAAATTATTTATAACACACAAGCAAAATGTTGTTTTTCTTGTACCCCAGAAGCGAGTTGTTGTTGTTCTTGAACAAAGCGGAATTCAATTTTATATTTATTTATATACGTATGCATGAAAGAAGAAAAAGTAATTTTAATGAATATGGCTCGTTAGTGAAGCAATTATACTTCTGGCGCGTGTTACACATTAAGAGGATGCGTCGCACGTCACCTTTACTTCTGGTACCAGAATGACGCACTCTTGCATCAAAGGCGGTACCATTGAAACGTTCTCCACTCGGAAAACTGTGGCATGCAGAGTTAGAACCTCTGAGACTCACTTACTGCGGAGGTGGATCGCCCAGTAAGTTCCGAGTGATAGTCCAGAAATGTTGTCTCTCAGTCTCAGTCTCCATCGTCCTTTCCTCTCGTATCGACAAACCGCGTCCGGTACCATTTGGTGGCAATACATTGAATTGATTAGATACATTTTTTTGGTTTTTTAAAATTTTATTTTATTATATAAACAATTATTATTTCTACTCAAGTGACGATGTGATTATTTTATTTTTCTTTTCTTTTAGTTTGATAGTAATTTTTTTTTTTTAAATTTTTGTTTTGATATTAATTTTTTTTTGATCAAATTCGGAAGATCTTCTTGGAAATATGCACACGGTGATTTGGACGTTCCTGGCACTGAACTTCATACAGGTACGGCAAATACCCGGCTTGTGAAATTCTATGTCGATTGCTCCCAGAGTGAAATACCGGTCAGCTGATTTCTCACTGCCGGCGAAAGTGGATAATTAACTTATTGGACTCGTTATTTATTTTGACTGTTTCGCTCGATGTTTCTCTTCACTATGCAAACTAGATTCACTGTTCAATCTTTTTAACTTGTAAAATATATGCATCGATTTTAGGATTACAAATGAATGGATTCTTTCCATGGCTTTCTATTCAGATTATTTCTCACTATTCAGGTTTTATACTCTCGTTGAAGTTTTGTTTTGATTTCTAGAGTATTGACCCCGTTGGACTTGAGACATGTTTTAGATTTTTTTTTGAATTGTGATTTCCGCTTTTAATCTTGTGATATAATCTCGGTATTTGAAATCGTTGGTTTTTGAAATTATAAGAAATTGTGCGAAATTGTTTTTTGGCGATGTATTGGTTTAGGAATGGATTTAGATTTTGTTTCGTGTGGGTATTATTTTATTATAGAAAGGAACCATTAGTGTGAATTATTTCGTTTGGTATTTTATTTGCATAAGTCACTTCTAAAAATTCCATTATATGGTGTGAATATAAGTTTATATGAATAATGTGGTACTTGCAAAAGTTGTGCAATTTAATGATTCTATAAGGTGCTGTGAAGTAATGGAAATCATTTTTTTTTTACTCTAGATCTACATTGATTGAAACTTATAATTGCTTTGTGTGTAGCAAACTAATGATTGATTTTAGTTTTTCAAAGTTTGAGTTTAATTTAATAATTTAAATTTTCACCTAATAGATTTTTAGTATTTTTAATTTTAAAAAAGTTAGTGAAGATTTTTTTTTCCTTTAATTTACTAAAATTTGTTCGGTTTCGAAGGTCGTATGAATTACAAAATCTTTACGAGAAAGTTGAAAAGTAAAAATACATTTTTCCATAAAATTTCCGTTTCCGAAAATAGAATTTATTTCTTAATCTATTCTCATCACATAGAGGCATAAAAAACACATTTATCAAAAAAATTCCAAAATTTATGTAACAAGTTAATTCATTTGATTGTCTAACGTGTGTGGTAATTTTTTTCAGTAATATTTTTGACGATTGTGTTTTAAATAGTACTCATGAATTTCCTGTCGAGAATTGGTAAATTTATCGCCTACAGAATAAAATTTTTGTTCATTTAGTTATTTATTTACTTTATATTTTATTTATAAATTTATTTATTTTATTATTTGTTTTCTAATTACAATTCTATTTATAAATAGATAAAAATTAAATAAAACAAATTGAGTATAGAATTGCATATAGAAAATAAATGAGTGGAAAGTATTTGATTGATTCTTAAGGAATGTTTTATGGCTAAAAGGAAAATGCAGATGCGCAAATAGATTAAATTAATCTAGATAAAAGATTAAAGAGTGAACGGAACTAGATTTAAATCCCATCGATCTTAAGTCTACCATAAAATTTTTTTGCACAGGGAAATATTGTTCTTGAGTACATTCAAGGGGAAACCACTTACAAACCCAACCTCATAACGCACAAGATAATAAATCTCCTCTCGACATGATTCATTTACGATTCTTTGCCCCAAAAAATTGCGTATGGCGCTAACCCTTTATTACGTAATACATCCTCTAACTATTCATGCATTCATTCTACCATAAATTTCCATATTGCAAAAAAAGAAAGAGAAAAAGAACTAGAAAATCTTTCAAAATAACTATGATTTTTCATATCATTGAAACAGATTGTTTTTGATGCTGTAAAAATAGAATAAAATTTATATATGGAAATAAAATATTAATGGCTACATATACCATGTTTGTAATTGTAACGCGCATAAAATGTATAATGCAAAGCCTTTTAGAGTCTATTAATCTTTATCAATAATATACAAAGGACTTGAGGCTTAATGATTTTTTATAAATATTTTTTTCACCTGCGTGTGTATACATGGTTCTCACATAAGTAAAGATAAAGGTTTTTAAGTACAACAATAAATAATGTTTGCAGTAATATAAAACGAAGATCGAAAATTTGATTTACTGTGAGATTATAAGTACTTGCTAACTTGATCAGATTTCTCAGTGTCGTAAAGTATTCGAATGAGTTTTCAAAATATTTTTATTGCCCGATGGCAATTATCGTTTCAAAAATCTCGAACTCGTTTCAACTGATGCTACGATGAAGCGGACGTGTACAAGGGACCAAGTTGCATTTCTCATTTATTTGTATTTAAAATGAATCGCAAACCGAACAACATCTTTGTACGTATAGGAAAGATCATTAATTCCCTTTGATAAGTAATTAATAGAGAAAAAAGTGATGTAAATCTTTGTATCATTTCTTTATCATTGTCTTTGGCTTCTTGTAGAAATTTTGATATTTTGTACTTTTGAATATAGGGCATTGTCCTCTACTTCTTTTAGCAATTTTGATATTTGGTGGTTTTGGATTTAGGCAATTATCTTTTGGTTCTTTTGAAAATTTTAATTCTTTCATTTACTTGGAAGCTGTTTTTAGATACAGGAAATTGTCTTCTGCTTCTTGTAGGAATGTTGATATTTTTATTCAGTTTGAAGATGCTTTTAGGAAATTTGATTTTAATTGGATTAGGTATCAGTTGATGTTACAGGAGTACCAGTCGTACATTTCGAGTTACATCTCTAGAGTCTAAGTGCAACTCTTACCCACAGTTACACCCTTAACCCCTGACAAGACCTGCAGTAACTTCTGAATGACATTCCATATATTCAAAAGGTTTACGGCTGTTTTTACTGCATTGCCCGTTTGGTCCATTACAGCTTTCAAAGTCACGATTCACAGGTTATATATGATCCGTAAAACAAAAATTTTTTTCCGCATGTGAACCATATTAAGACACTGATAATTCAAACATATGTCTGTAAATATTAGGTGCATCGTTTACTGTTGACGGACAATTTAATGAGACTGTAAGAAATTGACTTATAAATTTTACAGATTCTATATTTATAATTTATTTCGAACTAAGAAATGTTACGCGTGAAATGCGATATTCATTTCATTGTTATCATTGTGCAGAATAGAAAGTTTTTTGTACTTTAAATATCAACTACAATTTTTTAATAATTTCATATTCAAAAATTAAAGAAGTCACTTATTCACTAATTAAGTATTCAATTATTATTGTTTATTGTTTATTCTTCTTAAATATTTTAATTAAATTTAACCAAAGAATTTCTCTATTTTTAAAAATACTGAAATTCTTCTGAGAAATTCAATTATTTTCAATACAATTTTAACAAAATTTCTGGAAAAAATCCAATTGTTTAAAAAAAATTTATTACAATTTTAAAACAATAGATGAGAATATATCAATATATTTATTACAATTTTGTTAAAACTTATAATAATTCAATTACTTTAAATGTCTACAAATTCAATTCAATTTCTGAAAAGAATATTAGGTATTTCCATGATTTTTAATGAAATTTTTTGAAACAATTCAATTATTTTCAAACATTTTAGTAAAATTTAAAGCAAAATCTAACTATTTTCTTAAATTTTGATAGAATTTGTTTATAAGAATTCAATTATTTTCAATATCAACAATTTTAATTATGTAAATTCCTTAAAAAATTTTATTGCTTTCAAAAAATTTAATAAAATTCTACAAAAAAGTTTCAATTATTTTCTTAAATTTTGATAGAATTTGTTTATGAGAATTCAATTATTTCCAAAATCAATAATTTTAATTAAATTCCTTAAAAAATTTTATTTTTTTCAAAAATTTTAATAAAATTCTTCGATAAAATTCGCAATTATTTTCTTAAATTTTTATAGAATTTATTTATAAGAATTTAATTTTTTTAATATCAACAATTTTAATTAAATTCCTTAAAAAATTTTACTGCTTTCAAAAAATTTAATAAAATTCTACAAAAAAGTTTCAATTATATTCTTAAATCTTGATACAATTTGTTTATAAGAATTCAATTATTGTCAATGTCAACAATTTTAATTAAATCTCTTAAAAAAATGTTATTGCTTTCAAAAAATTTAATAAAATTCTACAAAAAAGTTTCAATTATTTTCTTAAATTTTGATAGAATTTGCTTAGGGTCATTTGAGGTAAATGTAAACAAGAGGTAAATGTAAACAGTAGATGTTTCAGCTAAATTTACAAATTAAAAAATAAGTACGACGTCAATATTTTTACCTCAGCTCACCTACAAGATGATCTGAGTATTGCCAATATTTTATTTTGACAATTGACAATGCCATAGTGTAAGTTATTTTTTAATGCAAAAAAGATTTAAAATCAAAATTTTACTGTTTCAGTATTTTGTCTCGCATTTGCATAAAAATAAATTTAAAAATCAAACAAAAATATGCAATTCTTCCTTATTAATGCCCTAACCAAAATTGACTTTGATTTTTGATTTTCGTCAATTTAGTTAATAAATAATTAAGTGTTTACATTTACCCCGAGAATTCAAAAACTCGGGGTAAATGTAAACAGAACTTGAACTACATTTTAAAAGAAAATAATTGAATAAATTTGCTTCTATTTCACAATGTCATTAATTTGGCAATGTAAAATTACATAGAAAAAGAAATTAGGTCCTCTTTGAAAAAAAAAATTTGATAAAAAAAAAAATTTATTTTTGAAAATTTGATCAATTTTTAAAAATATTTTTAGGTTCATCCGACACTTTGAAAATTGAAAATTTGACTTCAAATTCGTATTCAGCGACCTCATAAAAACCCCCTAGTAGCCAGATTCAAGCAAATTTGATCAATTTTTAAAAATATTATTTTTAGGTTCATCCGCCATATTGGATCCACCATTTTGAAATTTAAAAATTTGATTTTAGATTCTTATTCAGCAACCTTAAAAACTTCTTTTTACTAAGTTGAATGAAAATCTATTTAAATTTGTTCAAGTTATTCAAGTTTTTACATTACTAATTTTGCAATATATGGTTAATTGTTTATTTTATATGAT